CTGAACGTCTAGGCATAAAATCATGCAATATGTAAATAACTGTTATTTAATATGTTTTATTCTTATCATTATATAATGCCATTGATTCATATATATAATTAAAGTGGATTATATTTCAGGAAATTGTTAGTGTTGATTTCTTTTATTTAATAAAAGTACTCTCAAGATTGCTTCGTGAAGATAGTTGTTAACTTTGGAGTCTATATAAGTATATACATAATTGTATCTCTTTCATGCTATAAATTAATATGTGTTAACATATATTAGTAGGAAAAAGATAATCAATGATTAATGCTACAATAACTGAGTAGTGGAACAAGGGGCAGAAGGGAAGGTGCAGGAGATAACTATCTTACTTCATAGAAAAAAAATTTCAAATATATAAAACAAAGATTTAACTTTATAAATAAAACCTCCAAAATGCCAACATTTCAACAATAAAACATGACTGATGTATAGAGATTCACCTCTGCATGTGGTTTCCAGGCATGGACTCTGTCATCCTTCATGCCTTTCCTCATGCCCCACACTGCATACTCCCCAGATGTTTTGCTAAGCTTCATACAAAATCCAGAAGTCAAAGAAAGGAGAGAGACCCACATAAAGATTGTAACTCTTTAACGGACTCTTTTAATATGCAGCACAGAATAACACAGTCAAGACACATGAATTAGTTTTTTAAAAGGACCATGTGCCACAGAAGCAAATGGTTAAATCACCCCTATAAAGGATGCTATAGTTTCAAAAGAAAAAGCAAAAAATGGGTATTTCTAAACAGATATTCACAGAAAAAAAAATTAAAATAGCTCTTAAATATATGAAAATTGTATTCTATTTTTCTCATAATAAAACAAATGCAAAATTCAACTAAAATATACGTGTTTATCCATATCACATTATAAATATTGAAAAAATAATAGCACAATGAATTGGTGAGGGTATAGATGAACTGGAAGTGTGTTATGTTGCTGTCAGGAGGATTACCCCTATACATATAGAATAGTCCTCCAAATTTCTATGTGTGTGGAAGGTGATTGGGTCGTGGGCTTGCTATATGCGTTAGCGGATTCTCACTGATGAGTTCTCAGCAAACTGTACTATGACTGGAGGTCAAGCCTGGTAAGAAGAGAGGTCACTGGAGGTGTAGCATGGAAGGTTACACCACCCTTACCAGCTCCTTCTGTGACTCTGCCTCCTGGCCACCGTGATGTGAGCAGACTTCCTCTGCCATGCCCTTCCACCATGCCCTTCCTCTCCTGGAGCCAGCCAACTATGGATTGAAACTCTGAAAACCACGAGCTGAAATCAACCTCCCCTCCTTGAAGTTGTGAATGCCAGATATTGTATCCTAGTAATGAAAAGCAACTAAGACAAGAGTCAGAAATACCTTTATAAATTAATCTTATAAATGTATCTCTGTATATGAATATATGTGGGCAAAAAAAAATATATATATATATATATTTTACTTATAATAACAATATAGGAAACAGCTTAAATACCCATGACTGGGAAGTTGGTTCAATACATATATACAGGGACCGGGGAGATGGCTCAGTAGAATAAGCAATTCCTTGGTAAGTACAAGGACCTGAGTTTGATCCCCGGTTCCATAAAAAAAATTAAAAAATTAAAAAATAAATAAAAATTATGTATATATATATATATATATATATAGTCACACAGGAAAACTAGACTATAGGAAGGAATGCATCAAATTTATAAAAACTGAAACAGAGGGGCAGGGAGATAGCTTAGTGGTCCACATGCCTGCCTGGCAAGCACAAGGACCCAGGTTCAATCCCCAGTACTGCATGGCATGGCGGCCCTGCCCCAGGCCTGTCTTGCTGGCCACCAAAACCAGGCATGATGATGCATATCTGTAACCTGGCACTGGGTAGACTGAAACAAGAGGATCACTTTGAATCTGAGCTGTACAGAAATACTCTGTACCAAATACATAAATAAATAAAAAGATGTTATAAAAATTGAAATTGATGATAATACATTATTTTCAGTGAAAAATACAGGATACAAAATATTTGTATAACAAAATATTGTTTGTATATACATTTTATTTTATTATTTCTTTTGTGTATATGTGGTACCAGGGCTCAAACTCAGGATCAGACCTTGCACTTGCATATATATTATAAATAGACCAAGTATGGATGAGCACTTATGAGTATATTAGCAGATATGTACTACCTACATAGAAGAATATACAAGAGACAAATGATAGCTGTTGCCTTTGAGAAGGAAAAACAAAGTCGGCGATAATGCACTGCTTTTTCTTTTAAATGTTTTGACTCTGTATCACTTGCACATATACTATTATGAAGAAACTGCCTCGTTAAAATAAAAACCATACATTTATCTGTGGGAATATTTCCTTTATGAGGAAATGAGCCATATTTGTTCTCCCTAACTCTTATTTCCAATAAACAAGCCTTAGTATTTTTCTGATGCTTCTTGGAGAATTAGAGGTTTTAGACAAAATACTCCTTTTCTATTGTTTTAAAGCAGCAGAAAACCAAAACTAATTTTAAGTGCATTATAAGAATCTCTGAAAAGTTTACTTAATAAGCTGAGGGAACATATTTGGACTTAGATCCTCCTTTCTAGCCATGTACTAGAAAAAATGATCATAAACCTTGTACCAAGAGTCACATGAAGAGAAAACATTCTCTCAGGCTTTCACAGAAAGCACATTGGCCAAGCAATGGCCGTGACTCTTCCACATGGCTGACACTGACAAAGGATCTACAAACTGTGGTACAGGGTTTCAGGGTAAATCCTGAGGGGATTTGACTGACCTTGTCAGATACAAAAGTTACATTTCTTGTTATATAGGTATTACTTTATCTTGGTTTTAACCATCCAACAGAAAAGTATAATAACAAGGTATGAAAATTAAAGCCATATTAATATGCTGAGCTGTGAAAAGCTCAAGTCAACAACTTCTGACATTGCCAGTCCTATGGAAAACCCACTACTATTATGGACTACTGGACTATATTGGATTATTTTGCTGAATTCACACACCTACAATACTTGAATGGCAATGGAATACCCATCTCTGACAAAACTAAACAAAAAGGGGATACAAATGAAAGGCCATTTTGTATCTATATGTACAAACTAGGATAGATATACTGCTACTTTCTCTTAATTCAATGAGAAGAAAGATTTGTACTAAAAGTATTTGAACAGGATATCATGTCTGCATCTTGTACTATGAATAACCACTCCGAAGACAACAATATGCAACAATAGTGCTTCAATTAATTGTTGAAACTGTCCTATTAATCGGTTTTGAAACTGTCTCATTGCTATTTGTTTCTCAATAAAATTAATGAAAAAGTAAAAAAAAAAAAAAAAACTCCTAGCAATGGGAACAACCCTCAGTAAAGTTTGAAATCCCTGTAGCACTCCTCACAAAATAATTGTGTCTAAAATTGTCCTTTTGCAGTTCAGACCCACCAATGTTCTAATAAACTATATCATAGGTGACTGACCTTAAGGAGTTAATGTTGCATCCAAATAAAATTTGTGTCTAAGCATAACTTAGGATCTGGGAAAGTAATATCTGTGAAATTTCAGTTCCTATCAAGTATACCTTAAAACAATTCATCTGGGGCTTGGCCTCTGGTGTCAGATCAAGTCTGACTCTGCTGTACGTTGTTGAGCGTTTTGTCTCAGATCCTTGCAGTAAGCTTAACACTAGAGAGCTTCTGAATCAGCAAGAATATCATTATTGCTTTAGTGAGGAAAAATGCTTCTATTTAGTTCAGGGCATGATCTTCCTTTTGAATCGTTTTTCTTGGAATAGAAAAATCCTTCGGTCTCCTGCGTGAAGTCATCTTCTCCCATCCCTGACCAAATCTATTAATTTTTTTCCCAGCCCACATTTTCACTGTCACATAAATAGCATTTGTCCAATTTTGGACTATTGCATTGTCAGCGCATTTGCAAGTAAACCAAGCCTTCCATGGCAAATGAAGGGATCCGATCATAGTTTTGATAATCTCAAAAAAATAATAATAGAATAGATCTAGACCCATTAGGACCACAATAACTATGTGGTGTGTCATTAAGGCTGGTACTGCTCTGATCAGCTTGGCAAGGAGTCATTTGTCAGAGCTAGAAGTTCTGACCTTATGTCACCTCAGAGACAGCTCCTTTCTAGTCCATGCTTGCTGACTGGGTCATCCTTTGTGGACTCTCAGGTGCACATTTCATCTTCTAGGTGGGTTTCAGAGTGAGCACCCTATTACTGACATGGAGGTAACTAGCCTAATGAACCTTTATGAGGCTCTATCTGAAGCACTTTTTAAACTCAAGACAGAGTCCCTGTCTAAATAAAGCATGCATGTTCATAAGCATGGGGTGCTTACCTAATTCACCCTAGAAAACATATTTGTTAAGAATTTTGCTTAGAGGGGCTGGCGAGATAGCTCAGCAGTCTGAAGTGCCTGCTTAGAGGCCTGCCAGTTAGCTCAGTTGTTTAAGCGCCTGCTCATGCAAATGCAGTCAGGTGCAGGATACTGCAGTTCAATCCCCACCTCCACCTGCCTTACCAGACCTGCCCTTAAGGCAGCCTGAGCCAGCCAATAATAATTAATAATAATAATTATTATTAATAATAATAATAACAATAACAATAATAATCCTTCTGGGCCTGGGGAAATAGCTCAGTAGAATAAGTGCTTGCCTCGCAAGCACAGGGTTCTGAGTTCAATCCGTGGTACCACAAAAACAAAAAAAAAAGTGTCTGCCTAGGCAAGCTCAGGCAAGTGCAAGGACCACGGTTTGCTCCCCAGCACCACATGCCCCATCCCCAGGGTAGGCTGAGCTGGCAACAAAAATTTTTTTAAAGAATTTTACTTTGCAATTTAGTTGAAATTTACATTTCAATTTAAGGAAAAAATATTTCATGACAAGAGTTATACATGTGAACACACTTAATCCTCCCCTAATGTATGTGCATTTTCTTTTAGGAGTTCCATACACAAAGTAAATGGTAATTAAAATGTGCAGGATGACAAAATGGAGCAAACAGTGCTTGTACCACCAGGACCTGACAGCTTCAACTTCTTCACCAGAGAATCTCTTGCGGCTATTGAAAGGCGCATTGCAGAAGAAAAGGCTAAGAATCCTAAACCAGACAAAAAAGATGATGATGAAAATGGCCCAAAGCCCAACAGTGACTTGGAAGCTGGCAAGAACCTTCCATTTATTTATGGAGACATTCCTCCAGAGATGGTGTCAGAGCCCCTGGAGGACCTGGACCCATACTATATCAATAAAAAAGTGAGTTTTTATTGCACATATTTTGCTTATAATTGCCTACCACATATGTTGGATTATTTTAGTACCATTGCTCTCTGAATTGGCCTACCATATAAAGTATCCATCTGTTTATGGAATGAGAAACATTTCTGGATGTTTTATGCATACACCTCAAAGTAAATTGATTATCACATATGGAGCTGTTCCAAATACATCATGTTGGATACTCAAAAATAAGCCTTAAGTATTGCAGCAAAGTTAATTAAGAAATTGTCCCCAGAGATTATATGTATTATACAATTTTATGTACCTTTTAAACTTGGAAAATTTGAAATTATCATGTATTTCAGACCTCAGATAATATTAGTATTAATTTTTATGGAGATTGAGGATTTCTAATTTCTTTGTCATGTTATAAATAAAACAATTTCCTAGGGAAACAATTTCCTACAAAAAATATATAAGCTATGATTTTATGAAGAATCTAATCTTTGGGTAGAAATATTCTGAGGTTTGATCTTTGGGGAGAAATACATTGCTGTTGGTAAGAATTAACATAAATGTAACATGCTGAGGAGCCTGTAAATATTATTTACTTAACAGCATGCATTATCTCTGCGCATGCTTGAACTGAATGTTTTTTTTATGAAGCACCTAATCTTTATTATCTCCACTATTCCAAGAAACCAGAGGACACAGGAAAAGACAAAAGGTGCATTTTGTAGTGTTATTAATTAAATGTATAACTTCAGTTAATTTTTAACATTTATCTTTTTCACCAGACACAATGCATTTAGTTGAAGAGTAGAAAAAGGTGTTACAATTAAGCAAAAAGAAGTTTTAGTAGGGCATAAGCCTCAAACCCCCTCTAAAACTTTTCTGAAATGTTATTGATACGCAAGTTCTGAATGTGGCTTGTCCTTGTGTAACGTATACAGACGTTTGGCTATTTTTTTCTGAGGATTTAAGAGTTTTACAAATTTCTTCTGATGGACTACTATAAATTCTGAGGCGAAAGCCTCATCAGAAGGATGCTTAGCCTCATGTTTACATGTTGTTGTTTCTTTCACTTTTCAGGATACAACGAGTTTAAGTGCTGCACAATTTCCCTCTCCCTTTATTAAAACTGGTTTTTCCAACCTACAGTTCTAAAGTAAAAGACAAAGAAATATTTCCATAGATATCATTTTCTTTTATTTAGTTGGTTATAAAGATTATCTTATAACTGCCATTTAAATTAGGACTTTTTTTTTGTCATTAAGTCAATTCCTCAAAAACTACTTAACAGGAGAGCTGAAAAAACAAAGTTCAAAGTAAGCAAACTCTGAGAGTTTTCTTTGTATAAGGAATGTGAAAACGCATGCCTGCAATCTCAGCCCTCTGGGAGGCTGAGGTAAGAGGCTCACAAATCCCAGCCTAGCATGAAAAACTTAACAACTTCAATCATATCTCAGATTTAAAAAAAAAAAATTATGTTTGAAGGGCTGAGGATGTAGCTTTAGGGCAAATTCTCTTGGTTCACATTCCAGTAATAAAAAAACTAATTCTTAAAAATTTATTTAGAAGTATTTTGTTATTGAAATAAAGACTCAGATATATTCAACACAGGAATTTATTCTGACTGTATTGTATGTTCCTTGACTCACAGTCATTACATATGTCAGTCTGCTCAGAGGCTGCTTATAACTAGGGGCAGTGGACTCAGGCCTCCTACCCACTGTACGATAATGATCACCATCTAAAAATTATTATATCCACCCAGAGTCAATGTCTTCATCAAGCCTTCATCAGGGCTTCCTATTCTGTGCCTTTATGGTAACATGCTCTGAGCAAAACCAAGCCAATGCATGTTGACAAGGATAGAATTCTTCCTGTGGAAACCAGACCATCCAATCAATCTCTTCTGTTAAATTAAAGAGCTTTCAGAATGATAAAAGCTACTCTCTTCAGGGGAAATTTCTCAAAAACGTAGCCCATGATTGGTTTAATGAATTACATGTAACAAAAAATATAAAGGCAGATAGAAAGCAAAATTATGCAAACTTGTAAAAAATGTGTTGTTTTATCAAACTAAGGATCAGTGAAATAAATTTGTTAGGCTCTTATTTAAACTTGCCTTTGACATCATCCATCCTTATCTTCAAACACACATTGTGTGAGAGAGGAAAAGCATTCTGACATTTTGGTTTAGATCCCCATCTGCAAGAACAACCTGATAAGGAAAATACTCTTATCAAGAAGAAGTTTTCTCATAGAGCTGACATTAAGCAAATCCTCCAGTGTGAGTCCTGTAGCAGCGATGCAGGTGGAACTCTCTGCTGGGCAAAAATACCACATATCGATGTGCAGGACACATTGACTGTAGGACAAATTTCCTTTCCTAACACTTTTGATTTAAAATTTTCTGTGTTATCTGTATACTGTTTCATATTCTTAAATTTGCATTCACAATCAGATTATTTTTAAAATAATCATAATAAATTTTCTATGGTTAAGGTTGGAGTGGCTTAAAAGAGGACCTACTTTAAAAAAAATTTTTTTAGTATTTAATGACTAAATTTTAATGATGAATATTTGATATTGGTGATGCAGTCTTCATTGAAGTGATTCAATGCATTAATGGTGCAACTATTAGTAGGAAAATTTTGTCCAGGACAAGATATCCCATTAAGTCAGTAGCATGGACTTTTTGTGCAAAGTGAGTTGCTAAATGCAAACATCATCCAGTTAAAATAATGACTTCCTTAAGGTTGAACTACGACACAATAATGTGTGTCTTGTATCAATATATAAAGCATCTAGTTTCTCTCCTAGTAATATATAAAATAAATAAACCAAGAAAACTACTTTAACCTCTTTGTGTTGCTATAACATGCTATCTGAGATCAGGAAATATATACTGAGCATAAATTTATTGACTCTCATTTCTAAAGGTTGAGAAGGACAATAGTGAGGGGCCAGCATCAGGGCACAGCTTTTTGTGATCTTTTGTACGATGAAAGGCAAGCAGGCATGAAAAAGCAAGCAAGGCCAGAAGGTACCTTTTGTTGGGGCATCAATTTTACCCATGAAGGAAGTCCTTATAGCCTAATCCCCCTTGCAGTCTCCACCTCTAACAATGTAGTAATGCCAACTAAATTTCAAAGGGAGTATTACAAGGGACAAACATTCAAGAGATTGCATGGATGAGAAAACTGATTTCATAATCCATTTTTATGTTATATTTTGAGTTAAAGTGTAGTGGTGAACACACAAATTTATTTGAATAGAAATAACATAACACATTGAAAGTGTCTATGATCTTTTTTTTTTTTCTTTTTTTTTGGAATTTAGAAAGCCATTTATTACTGAGCTCAGGGCTCCCAGTCAGCTCTCACACAGGAGAGGCCCAAAAGGGGGGGGGGTGGCTTAATTCCTGGAACCACATTCCATTTGGTAAACAAATTCATTGTCTGACACACAATAATGCTTTCAGGGTCATTGTTACTACTACTCAAACTCAATTTCCTGGGGCTTTCTTTTAGTTTCTGGTTATCTTGCACCTGAGTACTTGCATGCAGCCTTGCATAGCCCAAGGTTACAAGAAGTTAAAGCCTATTAGTGTCTATGATCTTTTACAAAACCAATGTCAATGAGTGTATAGTATGTCACTGCTGAAGGTGGACTTTCTGATAACATATTCCCACTTATTTTTATTTTTTTGTCCCAGTTTCAAAGTATATAGTATTTGAACATTCATTTAAAATTGTTAGTGTATTTAAACCATGATCTGTGATTGTAGTAATGACTGGCAAAATAGTGATTTCCACCTTTGAAGCATTTCCTGATACATAAAAACGTTAAGGGCTTCACAGACCCTTAGATGGTTTAAACCTTCAGAAGGCCAAGTTAAGTACAAAGGGAAAGAAAGGAGATAAATGGCTTTCATAATGTAGTCAGAGAATGTTCCGTGTGACATTTGCTCTGATCCAGTGGTCTTCATGACATGACTCTAAACTAGATTCCTTTTGTTTGTTTATTTACTCCAGGTCTATAACAAGGCGCCTTTTAGCTTGTGAACACACCTTTTCTTCTTACAGTATTTTTTCACAGTTTCCTTTTCATAGCTTGGGTTGCTGCTGTACCATTTGGCTATACATACAAATTCTGCACCTCCGCCTTATTACAGAACATTTCTCCTTTCTCATGTTCTCAGAATTTCAGATGACTCATTAGTACCATGGGAAGAAATATCCTTTTGACAATGTGGCAGTTTACTGGAAATAGAATGAGATATTTTAGATCTGTGGCAAAAATGGATGTGAATTAATTATGGAATGTAGACATGTACTCATCTAAAAACTGCACTTTGTCCTTGGTTGGCTTTGTGGGAAATTAAAAAACGAATATTTTCTTCTATCGTCTGCCTTAAGAAGATGTGTCTCCCCTGCCTCAAGGCTACATGAGTAATCCTTCTTGAAGGGCTGCGAGTTGAAGCTCATGCTTGGTTTCTCATTGCTACAGAGGCTCTAGTTTTATATCAGGGTGGAGGTTTATTTGTTACATTTTTAATAGTTTCACGTGAAGCTTTTTCATACAAATGTAATTTAACAAAAAATTGTAGATAGATGATAATTAAAAGCTTATGAGAACATGAACTATCACACACACAATCTCTGGTTGACAACTGTTCTTTGCATCTCAATTTTTATAGAACAACCAGTCAGCAAGTCTCTGTTTGACATCCAAAGCATTGTAGATGACTTCAAATCCCTTCCCTCCTCATTCATTAGTTCTGCTTTATGCTGCTTCCTTCTTTGTCCACCTCCATGTCTCTGCTTCCAAAACAATCTCAAGGTGGTTATGTTGGTAAAGAAACTGTAGTTAGTCTTTATTAGATAGCTGTTATATTAGTAAGAGACCTTTCCAAAGAAAGTGATCGAAATCTAACTGAAACTACTTTCACAGGAGAAGAGAAAGAGGGGTAAAAGGGAGGGAATAAGGGAGAGAAGGAGAAAGGGATGGAGGGAGAAAGGGAGGCA